TTTCTACTCAAACAGTAAGGGTAGAAAAAACTATATATCACAATGTCAGCGCACTTAACATAGTTTATATGTGCGTGTCGCTGGTTTAGAGCTCACAGCCCCCGCTCTACCCATTTAGCCATTATGCACACGTCGCGCATAACCATAACGATTATGCTAATGCTCTGCGAGGGGGTGCGTGGTGCAGGTGTTAAGGTTGGGGATAAGAATGGGGTTAGCTACTAGAGGTACTGGCTGCCAGCTTGCTTATGATTTGCCTTGGCTTATTTTGAGCGCCCGCGCGCACATCGCGTTATTTACATACCTTAAGTAGTTGTAATGGGCTGCTGGTGTGGCTGCTGTTTTTAGCCCCAGCACGACAAAGTGTTGGCGATGAAGGCAGCTGGCAGTGTCCTTGGCTGAAAGACGAATATGCGAGTTGTCTAACAGACAAGAGTGGCCATTGAATATGTGAATGTGACTGTGAACGAGATGAGCTAGTTTTCATTATAACCACATTTGGTCTTGGCTTACTTTCGGGTATCTCATGAGCTTGCATTTAATGCCAGCTTACTTGGATCACAGTACGTACTACTTATTTCTGTATGCGTGCTTGGCTTTGCTTTATTCATAGGAAAATTCTAGTGGAATTTGCAGATAGTTCAACTGCAAATAAAGCACAAGTGACTTTTGTTTATTATGACCGCGTGCAGTTGATATATGCAGACCATTTCTGAGTCTAGTCAATTATTATTGTACTCAATTGCAGAAACTAAAATTTTATTAGTTAAAATTAAAGCATATAATAAATAACTACAAGTGATTGTTTTGACATTTTTTCATTTTCATATCATTCCATTTCAAGAAATTTTATCCAATTGATGGCTTGCAATATGTTAAGAAACCATCTATTGTACAAATATTGTAAGTGAATTTGATCAATTTTATGCAAAATATGATTATAAAATATTCAACAAAGCAGCTGTTGTCTGCCTTGCGCCAACTTTGCGCTGATATTAAACTGAAATTAATCTTCATCAAAAGTTGGGCGGCGCTTTAATTAGTTTGGCCAATCGAGCAGCTCTGGGCCTCCAGATTCTAACTTTATCTTTGTCTTGCATATTATTGACGCTTATCCATTTAAGATCCAGTTACCGCCGTTTTGTTTAGAAAATGGATGGTTCTTAAAAATTTTACTGAACAATATGTCAAGCAATGAGAGGTATGCCTAAAGACTTGAGAGGCATTCGAATGAGCATGGTTTTGTATCTATTTTTTATATATATTTGAAATATTAAATAAGTAAACCTATTTTCACAAAAGACTTGTACATGGGCATTTGCCACAGCCGAGTCAAATATGAAGAGAAAACAAATCAAATCAAATGCAGACTTCGTCGAGTGGCAGTCAGAAGCGGCAGTAGGAAAATTTTTCGGCAAACAACAACAACACAAATAACAAAAACAAATTAATAGAAAACAATAACAATTCTCTTTATTATTATTACTGCAGTGAGACTGGGAAAACTGGCAAGAAACAAAAAAACCAGCACACAGAACAGGACTCACAGATTCTAACAGTTTCCAAGTGCCTAAGTTTTTGTACTTTATTTTATTTTACTCTGTCTGGTAGCAAGTGTGTGTGTGTGAGTGAGTATGTGTGCATGTGTGTATGTGATTCACACAACAAAATGCAAGTAAAACCCAAAATTCTTCTTCTCCATTGCGATGGCCTTGCCTAAAAGTCTGCCACACTTCGACGCGTTCTCAGGGGACTTTTTTTGGGCAGATGCTTGTCCTGCCAAATGCTTAAACATACGAGCATCTTTTCATACACTTGCTGAGAGAGTTTTATGATTTAATCACTAAATGTGCGCCTTGAAGTAGGCTTGATCAACAGTCGAGTCCTTTTAAGCATTTCGGCTCTCTTGCAAATTAACCAGAGGAGTTTTTACACAGATATGTGACACAAGGGTATTTCAGTTTCGGCACCTCGCAGAAAACTCTTCACACTAGTTGTTTTTTGTATGAACTTGCCACAAACAACGAATCGCTCAAAGTGTGAACAAAGTGTGTACAGAAGCTCAAGAAATCAGGCCAAAAAATAAAAATAAGATAAGAGCAAGAAACAAGCGCATTGAATGCGTCTATCACAACCAAACTTTATCCAGGTGTAAGTCCGGTTGGGGGTGGGGACTGGGTTGTACGAGGCGTGCGTTGTGCCAGCTACGTGCATTGCATGTCGAATGTTTGGTAAAAACAGCCAGCAGCAACAACAGCAGCAACTTTATCTAAAGTACAACTTTTGGCTCACACGCCTCAGCCGAGCACCGAAGCGGTTTCCTGTTTTTTGCCTGATTTGTTGGCACGCCCCATGGGGCGCACAGGGCTTTGCTGTCGGTAAATTTGTGTTGTTTTGGCAACGTTTTTTTTTTTACCCGCTTTAAACTGAAAATGAAACTGTTGTTGTTTATTTTACGTTCGTTGTAGTTTCTTTGGCTGCTCGACGCTTACCTCCCTCACCCTCCTACATTTGCAACATGTGCCAATGATTTTTAATGCGATTTAAGAATATCACAAAAAACAGCCATTGCAGGTTGATTTCTGTGCTTTTTTTCTCTTTATTTTTTTATTTTTGTTTCCCTGCCGAGAGGCTTAAGTTTGGTAGCACAACCTTTTTTTAAGTGGCCGGCCAATGAAAATGTTTTCAAAGGTGAAACCGAGTAACATAATGTTTTGTAATGCCTTCTGATAGTGTCTCTGTGTGGGTGGGCGGTTGTGTGTTTCTGTGCGTGTGACTTTATTTAATACCATTAACGCAAATTGAATGTTATACGCAGTTAAGCCCTTTGAGCCATTGCATGCGCAATTGAGTTTTCGGATGTGCCGAGTAATGCCGCCTCCCAAGCTCTTTTGCCCAGACTTATAGTCCTTAACATTTTCGCATTACTGCTTCAGCGAGCCAAACAAGTAAGTGGCCCAAACGATTGAATCGATATTGTAAATTACATAAATTAAGCAAAACGTATATATTCTAGAATGTACGTTGTTAAAATGCTAAAGTGTAATAGGTGGGAAAAATAAAAGGGTATATAGAACATCATTTTAATAATCATTACTAATATATATATATCCTTCTTTGGTCGAAGATCCGGCACAGTCCGATATTAATGTTATAAGATTTTCAGATATATATGGAAAGAAGAGTATAACTAATAAACGCCCAATTTCGTTAAGATACCTGTATATAAATAGAAGAACCTTTTATTCGAGCCATCATTTCTTACCCTACCTATATGATACAGTGGTCCGATCCGCTCGGTTCCGACTTATGGACTGCATTCAATAGAAAGATAATGATCTATAATATATATACTTTTACTAAAATATATATATACATAGCACATTTAATGCCAAATTTATAATATCCTCTATATGGTTAAAAAACAGATTAGTGGTTCGGCTTACTCCCTGCCACATCCAAAACATTCGCTTCTATATAATTCATAATTTAAATGAAACTCTTGAAATTATAGTTTTTAATATCTACTCAAATGTGTTTAGATGAGTGCAGAGAAGGCTCAGAGTTATTTATGCCATTGGGCTGAGTCTTTCTCATAAATTGTGCGCAAAAATTTGATTCAGATCGAGTTTGGCTTGATTTTAGTTTCGGTTCATAATAAAAATTGAAATTCCGCAGCAGCCTGGCAAAGCATACTTTTGAGTGCAAACCCAATTTGGCAAAGTATTTTTATTGAAATTTGCAAATGCTTCATTCTTATGAAAAGTGCATTTAACTCTTTATATCATCAGCCGTTTATTCATTTGGCTTCTTGCTGCATCTGGCTGTGCCACTAACAGTTTCATCAACGATCCAATAACTGCTGAGCAAACTCGTAAATTCCATGGAGCCTCCATCGCACCAGCCAGTATTTCGAGCAACTTCTTGGCCCAGTGGCATTGCTTTTTCATTTCCAGAGTGCAGCTGAAGCAGAGTAGGAGTAGCAGGAGTAGGAAGAGCGGCAACGGGTAAATGTTTAGCATAAGCTCGTTTGCTGGCCTATTTCAATAATAATAAAAGCAAAATACTTGTGCTTGTGCAGCAATTGCGAAATATTGCTCATGAATGCCGCGCTTACATAAATATTTAAGTTGAAACATTGGCACGAAAAGCATTTGGCCAAGACTTTCTCTCTCTCTAATAGAAGACGAGCGATGGAAAATAAAAGCCCGGCCAGCTGGCAGAGGCCATGATGAAAGTCTCCATTTAAGCCATCTTCTCTGCATATTGCATAGACGAGTAGCTCGCGCAACTAGCAGCTGTCGAATGAGTGCGTGAGTGAGTGGGTGAGTGGGCGAGTGAATGATGTGAGTGTGTTCCTCAGTCCTTGGGCCAGAAAAGCGTTTTTCAATATATATGCCAGCTATAACTTTAGACTGTTAAGACTTTAAATGGGCACAACTTTGCGCGCGCGCACACACACACGCACAGTATCTACACCTCTGCCTCGCAGTCTTTAGTATACTTTCACGACAGCTTGTCATTTGTTGTTTACTTGTTTTCATGTTTTATTTCCTATTTTTTCTCCTCCCTGTTTTTTTTTCTTGCGCTGTGCTGCTCGTTTTGCCGCTGATACAGTTGGAAAATAGAGCTATAAGCCGAGTATCTATCTTGCATCTTGTTGCTGTCATTTCAGGCTAATGTCTTCGCTCCAGTTTCCTTTTTCGTGTTCAATGTCTGGCTCTTGTCATGCCTCTGCCCATCACACAGCCCACTCGCTTTCGCCCGCTTTCGCATTTCTCGAGTATCTAGCCGTTCTTCATGCACGTCAGCATCGTTCAAGCCTGCTTAATGTGGCATTCTTTTAACCAAGTTTCCTTTGCTGACGGCATGCAGCAAAACTATTTCTTAGACATGAGTATTTCCTCTAGCTTTTATACAAATCAAAGCCTTAACACTAATTGAATTTGTATATGAATTTGATATAGTAGATAATAATTTTTCTTCTCCTTTACTTTCAGCTCTTGTTGATTCAAAGTACAACAGAACTTAAGAGGTATGTATGAAATATTTTAAATATTACAACAAATTTAGTATGAAATGGAAATAACGTAAATACAAATTATTTCAACAAATATTAAAACCTTTTATGTATTTAAAATACATTTCATATTCACTTTACCATTGAAGTCAATTAAAGCACTCAATAGCCCAAACATATAAGATTTGAATAGATATTCAATTTGTAGCTAAAGTATGAAGATAGATAAATTATGGAAAATGTTATGTAACAATATGAAAGCATTCATATAGAACATTTAATTTATTATGCCCTTTGATAGCAGGGCCTAGTACATGACTAAGATTATTATAGGTGCAGTTATCTATGGCTAAGCGTAGACAAAGCTTAATTTATATCCGCTTTCTGGAAGCAACGTAACATTTTCATACACATCTCTCCATACAAAGAGTAGCTAATTTTCACGCCTATTCGTAGCATACTTAATACCAGGAATTGCCAAGCGGCTTTGGAGGGTGGCTCCCTCCCAGCCGGCACAGAGATAAGCGGCTTAGGCTGTTCGCTTGAAGTGCCAACGAGCTGTGACTCATAAATACGATACAGCAACTGGGACCAGCAGTTAGGCTAAATAATGTAGTCTGAGGTTGTGTCACATTCCCAGTTGGCTCTCCTATCTGCCTAACCCGAAAAATGCCTTACGGAATTCTATCAATAATGAAATTCCTTGGCCAGCGCTCCCTTCCTTGGCTTGGTAGGAAGTTTGGGTAGCAGCTGGCAGAGCCGACTCTACCCATTCAAATACACTTAAAATAAACCTGCAGACTGTAGGCTAACTGCAATTAAAAACTCTTAATTGTTTATTAATGCGCACTTCCATAGAATGGCGTGAAAAAATAAATTAATTTGCTGCTGTTTTAAATATGGCGCAGACGATTTAACATGCCACGCTTGCCTGCAATGGGAATCGCAGTCGCAGTCGGAGTCTGTGTCTGATAAAAATAAACCCCTCCGTTGGGGCGGCGCGTGAGACTTTGCCTAATCGTTGCATCTCGTTTGGGTGGGTCCGAGTCATGGAGCTTGGGTGTCTACACTTTGATTTATGCGGTCTGCACTTGTTTTTGAAGGGGAGCTGCTGCTGCTGCTGTTCTTGCATATTCTATATTGATGCGCGCATCCAATTTAATTGCTTGCTGGATTTTGGATTTCCACACTAAGATCGTGCTTCCTGCGGCAGCACCAGAATACAAAAATAACATGAACGACATGTAGTTTGATGATTAATGTGACACTTTATATGACATACGCACAGTGGTAAAAAACTAAATGAGGGGCTTTTTTTTTAATGCAGAAATGCGTTCAGACAGTATTGCCAATAGCACTGAAATAATTAAATAGCCATTTTGATTAATAGCGTAGATCTAATTTTAAATTTAAAACCATTTTTTATATTTTTACTTATTTAAATGCATGAACCTATCTAGAAAGTATTGTGTATAGTGAGACAAAATGAATGTTTCAAGAAGAACTAGTAACAATGTTTTAAAGTAGCAGATGCGAGTCTCTTCTAGACATATAGTGGGGTCACATGGATTTTATTGGCGTGTGTGTACTCTAGATTTTGAAACATATAAAAGCTTCTTTTTATCCATTAAATATATTTAAAGCTCTTTGTTTACGTGATGGATTATTTGGAGAGATTTATTTGTTACTTAAGATTATTTTTTTAAGCTCACTTGAAGTAGCCAATGTACTTTGGAAGCTTCTCGTATAAAACTCTTTTCAAAATGAGCCGAAACATTTATCGATACATTGTAAAGAAACATTTAATACGAAATTCTACGATTTCGTTATTAAAAAATTAAACAAATTTTTCGTGAGAAAATTGTTGAGCTTCTTCCCACTGTGCTAAGCAGTCAATGTTTGTTGCTTGGGGGTGAAAAAACGATTTTGACTTGTCGCGAGCGCGTGAATAACATGAATTGCGTTATGAAAAATGCATAACAGACATGTACTGGGAGACTGGGGTGCGTGGATATAAGATTGGGGCTTTCGCGGCTATTGGGGCTGTTGCAATCATTACAGAGCTGAGCGATAAGCGACGTTGCATGCGGTGACACAGCTGACGATTGCAATATGATGTGTGTTCGCCTGGTGGCATGTTCAGCATCTTTGCGTGTACTAGTTGTGCATGTGGCTTGTGTGTTGTGGTTGACAAGCACGCGAATTGATGTGCCACTTGGGCGAAATGCTGTTGACTTTGAGGGATTTATGTGGCGCACTGCTGACAGCTGCCAAAAATTAGCTGCCAGTCGAGCCAAAAAGCTGCTCGCTGCCGCGTATCTGTATCTGTATCTTAACTTACCGAGTTTCGAGTTCAGACTTCAGGTCCGGGCGGCATAATTAGCAGTGGGTCGCAAACTTTTGTTTAGCTGCAGCCCAAAACATGAGCTAAGCTGACTTAGCAGCTGTGCTTGCTCTTATTATTGTGGTTGTTGTAAGCCAGCTGCATGCATAAACTAAAACTCAAATTTGCGCACAAAATCCCAAAATGTCAGTGACCAAAAACAGGGCAACCAGATGAGGTAGGGGCACCAGCAGCAGGCTGGTTGCCAAGGGACAACCTCAGCCAACAGCAGCAGCAACAACATCAACAACAATAACAACAACAACAACATCACCAGCCACTGCAGCAAAAGCAGCTATAAAACTGCTTCGCTCGACGCTCATTATTCAAATGTGTTTTGGGGCCTGACTATGCAAAATGGTCGAGAACCGCCACATATACCCACAGAATGCTACACACTTTTGTTGCATGCTTTCATTCTTATTATTATTTTACACATTACATTTTCCAAAGTTATTATCTGATCCGCAACGCTGTCAGCCAAGTACATTTTCAATATTACACAACCATTTATTTGTTTCAGATAAATGTACTTTTCTGCTCTTTGGTCTATTAAACTGTTTCTTTCTCCAGTTTTGTCTCCAATATTTGCTCAAGATTTTGGGCAATAGGAAAATTTAGTAGAAGTAAACAAGCTACGAATTTGTTTTTTCAAATTATTTGGCAGTTGGGAATTATTTCCCGATTTTAGCTAATTTAGGTGACCTTTTAAATTGAAGCAAATGAACACATAATTCTGTATGTCCATTGTATGAAATGCTATTAATTGATGGTTATTTTTGAAGAATTTAGAAATATATTAGTTTAAGTTAACTTCAATAATTTCTCTTACTTTCATTGGTAAATTTTATTTTTTATTGTGCACTTGGAATAACATTTCGCTGTGTTAGGTGTTAATCTTTAGCTGATTCTGCGTCAAGGCCTGTGCGCTGGCAGCACAGACCGAGAATGTGGCAATTTGGCCATGGCGGGCAATGTATATTTATTGCGGTTGTATAATGCACCAATAATGTGATCAGGGCGATCAAGCAACCGGGACTGAACCTCATTGCAGCTCTTTAAGGCAAATAAACTGAAGCTGTAAGTAGATGGTGTTTTTGTTAGCGTTGAAAATGTTTAAAGAAATAGTGCGGAGTTCGTTTAAGGGGCGGGCATATACATTGGGAAACATATTATTTTGACTGGGTTTGTTTTTTGGCTTAGTAAATTAAATGAGAAGCTTAAATATTTAAGTTCAAAAGCTGATGTAGAGATTGCTTATGGTATTGAGGAACTTTCCAATTATAAATCTAAGCTGCACATTTATATATTTAACAGGGCAGATTCCCGTCGAGGTAATTTCTACCTGGTCACACATTATAAAGCAATACTAATTTAATATGTACGCTATATACCTGACAAAAGTTACGAGCATTATGCAAGGTCCAAGAATTGTGAATAGCACAAAGTGATTCAAGCAAACGAATGCATTTTCTCTTCGGACAATTAGCATACATGACAGTGCTCCCCAAAGACAAGACTGACAATGCTTTGATCTCGAAATGCTCTGTACGCGTGTAATATCGTCGCATATAAATCAAAAGGCGAAGCGTTTGTGAAGAGGCCCTCTTCAAAGCAATCGCAGGCCCAGCGCAAATGCTGAACTTCAACTGAGCAGAGCTACACAGAGGACCACTGCGTCTCTTTGGATTAACTGGGGACACAAGGGGCAAGTGTAAAAAAGTGCTTCAACAGCGGATTGGAAAGTCAAACGTTTGATCTGCCCCCAGGCGATTGTCACGCATGTTGGCCGACCTGGACGCGCACTCTGAGACTAATTAGCGCCGGAATGAATAAAATGCCAGCCGACTCTCTGGGTCTGGGAATGCAGCGCACATGCGTTTAATTAGTTGGTCGAGCTGCGCGGGGGGGGGGGGGGTTGAGAATCGGCAAGCATGACAGAATTGCAAATGACAACGGAACACGAATTACATGGTTTGCAGTTTTGTCGCTTCGTTGTCACACGTCCAAGGAGCAAATAGCAAAGAAATCGGTACATTCAATTTGATTGGACTTAATACGCGTGCGATTCGTTACACCAGACTCGCAATTCCGTAATTCCGCTCTTGCAGAGGTATTCAATTCGTGTGCTTGATTTTGTTTGCATGAAAATGTATTTCACTTTTTTGGATTTGTGTTTAGTAACAATTTCTCGCTGTCGTCGTCCGCATTCTGGCTTGTTTGCATGGCAGCCAGAGTTTCATTCTGCGGTCTGCGCTCTAATTGCGACTTGGCAATATATCAATGCGCACAGCTAGCTACCTAAATGTATATGCATGTGTGCACATGTATTTAGATACACACGTTTGCATGTTTATATGTATATGTATTAGTAGGTATGCAGGTATCTTTAGGTGGAGCCCTGCTCTAGTCAGCAGCCGTTTTGACATTTGCTTACGCGTTAAAGCTGACAGGTAAAATGGATTTGTTACGGCAATAGAACAAGCAAAAACGCCTTGCTTTCGCTGCGGTCGGGGAAGCTACAACCCAAGAGGGTTGGGGGCAACATCTTTTGTGGTACGTAAATGGGTGACACGTGAAAAGATAACACCCTGCTGCCGGAAAGTTACAGTGCTTTTATACAAAGGAAAAATGAATAAAAGTACTGTTGTGTAAGATAATATCTTGTATTACACGTAGAAATAGCTTATTTAAGACGTATTATTATAAATTTATCATAAAGTTTTGTTTTGTATTTATTCACATTATGCATTGGCTTTAAACTTAGCCCTGTTTTAATAGCGCTTTGCAATAGAATTAAATTATTTATTACTGAGTTTGACAATTTTTAATTTATTTAGCTCACCTAGAAAATTTGGGTCTATAATGTTATTATTATTAAATAATAATTCTCTTTATCCGCAAAACATCCTTATATTTTTAGTTAATTTCGAATAAGTTAAGACCCTGTTTCTCAATCGTATCCTTTAATTTAAGATATCTCTGGGCTAAGTTCTTTTACCTGTTAGGTCAAAGAAATCAAACACATAAGATACAAGAAAAAAGTGGAAAAGCATGAGTCAGAGGTGGATGCGGCACTTGAAAATCGATTTAAAGAGAAATCTCTAGAAGATTGCCCATTTTAGTTGGCAACAAGGCTAAATGGCATTTTATGGGAGAACAGAGCTGAGTGAATCCATTAAAAGGCATTGCAGAACAGAGCCAACAGTAATTATCAATGGCAAAATAATTGAGCGCACACTTATCATGAGCAAGAAGCAATAAAAAATGGAGAGTGGATAATGAAGATAGAGATGGGCGTGGCAGTTGAGGGTGGGTGTTGTCTGTGGCCTCAAAGGAAACGTAGAGCAAGAACTAATTGCGTCCAAGGCAAATCCGCACCAAAAGCACTTTAAATGCTAAGCAGATGCCTATAACACTTGCCTTGGCCTGAATGACTTATTTCAGACTTTAAAGTGTTACCAGACAAATACAATTTCTGAAAATTCTGACTAAATTAATTAAGTAAACAATCCATCAAGGTTATGGCGCGGTCGACTGGACCAAATTAAATTAGGAAAGCGACCAAAAGTCAAAAGGGCCAAGCGGCTTCAGTTCAGCCAAAAAGGTAAGCGAAAATCTCTTAGGCCGTTCAACAATTCGCTTTAGTAGGCGGTCACACAAAGAAACTGAGTATTCGAGGCTAAGGCACAAATGCCCAAAAACACAATTTATACAACATTTTTTTGTTCAACTTTTTTGGCATCTGCTCTCCGCTTACTTCGTATGGGGCTTAAGCTGGAAAATGTTGCCTCCTGTCGGGCAGAACGCAGGCACTTCAAAAGCACTCAATTTGAGGCAAGAAATGTTATTTTAATCAAAATTTTTCCATGCGCACAAATTTCAATACAATGTAAATATAAAAATAAATTAATGCAGATCGAATTTCAGCAAACTCTTTTGCAACGACCTGCCTCGGCTGGATTTTAAATTAATCCTTAAAGATTAAATTAAACTTTTCATATTCTCTGTGGGTTGCCCGAAAGTAAGCATATACTCTTAAAAGCACCCAACACCTTTGTCAAGTAATATAAATATTTTTATTGTCGCACATTTTGAATAGACAAGGAAAACCACTTGGGATCTTAAAATAGCTGAGTCGAATTTGAGTTGTAGAAAAATAACATTAAAAGTCATAACTTTTGTTGAAATAAAAAATGAATATTATTTGCATAGCCCTTAAAGCAGGCAATATATATTTATGCAGGTTTTTTTTTTTTTTTTGGAAATTTACTAACACAATCACAATCGCTGTCTGTGCGCACAGACACGGAGCAATTCATTTTTAATGCTACCCCTTACGACAGCTCAGCGTCGAACCGAGGTTCTGTTCTGGCTCCTGCATTGGCAACAAGCAAACGAGTGCAACTGGCACTGCTAATTGCACTCATTCACACGATGAGCGGCAACAAAGGCGGCCAGAAGTGGCCTCTAACAAAAACAGCAACAACAACAAAACAAGAGTCGAAGAGTCGTCGCCTTGACGGCACGGAAACGGAAGCGTTAGTTGCAAGGATATGTTGCACTAGTGCACAATAGCCGTTCCCCTGCCACTCATCCATTCAGCATACACAATTCACAATTCCCCGCTGCCCTTCGTCCGTCGCCGGTCGCCTGTCTTCCGTCGCCCGTCGACCGTTTCGCGGCCTTTGTTGTCTCTGTGTGCACAGCAATTATGTGCCATTGAAGTTTCATTGTCAGCGCTGCAGATTGCAACTGGAGTCCGTCCGGATTCGACTACTCCGCCTTCTTCTCCGTCTCCATTGACACGCTGTCCGTTTCCGGCGTAATTGTTATGCCAATTTTTAAGAGCGCGCCGCCGCCTGCTTGCCAAATTAAATGAAAATCAAATAAAGCCCAGGACCCAAATACGTAAATGCGGTTGAATTTGCAGCGTTAAATGTTAACAGTCGATTTTGCAACTCAAACACACGCCCATAAAAATATCAACGCGTATTTGCGTGCCTCAGTCTCGGGTGTTAGCTCGAGCTCCAGCTACAGCTTCCGATTCCTTGCTCCCTGCCTATCTACGGGCGATGTCGTTTGGCTTAGACTTACGAGCTTGGGGCGCAAATTGACAATTTCTCTGAAATTGCACAAATACTTATGAGCCCGTGCTCCACTTTTTTATGGCAAATTACACAGCCGCATGTGAGTGTCTATGTGGGCGGCTGTGCATGTGTGTGTGCATGTATGTGTGTGTGTGTGTGTGTGTGTGTGTGTGTGTGTGTGTGTGGTATATGTCGTCATGTAATAAAAACGTTAGGCAGCCTGGGTTACCAGAGGGTTTTATGATTGGTTTTCAGAAAAGGGGCAAGAAAAAAAAAAGAAAGCAGCATAAAATAAATAAAATATAAACTGCGTTATGTTTATGCGCCAAAGAAAAATCCATCAGACATCATCAGCCAGTGCATAATTAAACATTAGACGGCGATAATAAAATGGAAATGATTGAAGATTATTGCTATCAGCGTTTTTATCTCGACAAAGAAGCTGCCATTAGCAAGGGCTTTACTTTAAAAACAAATTTTTATTCTGATTTTTAAGTTTCAATAAAATTAAAAGCAGTTTGATGACTTTGTTACATCTTTTAATAGATAAAAATATAATCAATGGGTTGTACATTTCATGAACAAATATTTATCGACCATAAAAAGTTTTTAGAAGAACGAATTTCTTCTGGGAAGCACGGGTTCTCTGCTGAAATATAAGTAAACATATTTAACCAATATGCTTTACCATTAAGTAAGATAATTTTATTGAAACTAGTTTTGCTTCAATTTGTAATCTAGTGAAACAAAACATTCTAGCTTAGCTTATCCTTCTGGCCTTAAATATGATATCGATCATCAAATTTCTTATAAACTGCGTTCAGCTAACCTTGGCCAGCTAAACAGAATGTGAATGAACCTTGTATAAGGTGAAGGCAAACTTATAAAGCAATTAAAAAGTTTTCTTTTTTCTTTTTGCCGTGTCATGATTTTGATAATTTTTGTTTGCTCTATGAAAAAAGTTTTAGACCGTGCACACGCCTTGGGCAACAAAAATGAAGTTTGAGCAGCAGGTGCAGGACAAATGGATTAGAACATTAGAGCAACATATACTTAAGCCCATGGTGCTTGCCGTAATGACAATCATAATAAGGCTGAGAATGCCTAAAAGTATGCTTAATTTTGTGCAACTTTAGTGCCTTTAAGTTGCAAGAGGCAGCAAAAAAACAGCAGCAGCAGCAACAACAGCAGCATATAAAGGACAACTCACCCCAACTACAAGGCCGGACGCTGTGAAACTTGGCGGCGAACTTTTTCCTTTAAGTGGAACATGCTCTAACAACTTAAGCTGCTATGCAAATAAAAAAAAATATATATATATACATATAGCACACACATACACCTACACACACATTAAGGCACACATCAAATGCTT